GCCATGGTACTTAATTTATATTAATGTGGCCGACATCTCTCTCTGTCTCTGCGCTTTGTACATCTGCCAGCGTCCTAAATTAATTTACACGACTCATGACAAAAAGCGAGTATCTGCAGAATCCCTGATGCCCCATAAAATCCTCGTCCCTTGCCACTTTTTTTTTATTGTAACTTTTTCGGGCCCTCAATTCACTTGCATGGCCATTGATGATGGGTTGTTGTTGCTGCTACTGCTGCCACGGCTGTCATATTCAATCAAATTTGTTATGGAAATAAATTGACAAATAAATTGTTGTATCAATTTATTCGTATCATTAGCGTGTCCCATGGCGGCAAATTGGTTTTCAATTTGATTTCCAAATGAATTAATGGAATTTGAAAAGATTTTGGGTTTTTTTTACTGCTAGTAAGCTATTCTTTTGTAGGATTATTGCGGAGTAATTGACTTTGTTACAATAAGAAATTTAAATGGGTTTTTAAATATTTTAAATGATAACTAATGCAAAAGCAGTTGGAAAAAGTGTTACAATAAGAAATATAAATGGGTTTTCAAATATTTTTAATGATAACTAATGCATTTCGGTTTTTCTAAAATGTTTGGATTTTAATGTTTGTATAAATGGTGTTTATGTGGGTTATTCCTTTTGATCTAACCCAATTTATATCACATTTTAAATGGTCAAACTGTGTTGTTTACGTTCATAGAAATGAATGTTTTTTGATATGCTTTAAGCAAATAAATCTATTACTATCGGACTGACCCAGTTTTTTCCTCACTTTTATTGTGGCAGCTTGTGGTTTTCCCTGTCCATTGATACGCACACGTTGTGTTTCATTTCGATTCTGGAGCCGTAACCTCAGAATTCGCCGGCGGCAACGACACGCTGATTAAATCAAATAACTTATGGCTTAGCTGCTGCCTTTCCTCGTCCTCCGTTCGTCCTTGGAATCCAGGATCGGAGGCAGACGTTCCTTGCTTTTTCGAGTAAGGAGCAAGGATACTCCCAGTTGTCGGACAACGGAAATCAGCGCTGCCCAATCTGCTGTGTGGCCGAGTTTGGTTTGGTTTGGCTTGGTTTAGTTTTTTTTTCTTCTTTTTGGCTGTATGGATAGTTCGGTGGTGCAGAGGTGAAGTGGAGCACCACCGCCGTGGCTCATTGTGTATGAAATTTGCTCAACTGCAAGCCAAGCAGAAGGAAATTGCACATACATACACACAACCGCACAGCCTTATCCTGCTCACTGGATTCTATTCCTTTTTTTCCACCAGAAGCTTCTCCTTTTCTGCTCGACTGCTGATGCGAAAGCTTCCTTGGAGCACTCAGAAAAATAGAGTGAACATTTTACACAATAACTAGATATTTGCACAGTCTAATTAGGTAATATTTAAATACCAAAGTGTTTATTTGGTTTTCTTAATAATAATTTAAAAACTTTTCTAAGTACATAAGTCAAAAATTGATACTTAAATAATTTGGTAACTCCATAAAATTTATTTAAATACTTCAAGTTACGGAATTCAATATTGCACGCTGTACGTGTAACGGCAGAGGCTGAGCAGAGCAATTCCTTATGCCCGCCTAATGATAATTGAAAATCTATAAAATTAGTTTTAATATTTAAACATATCCGCGTAAAATCAAAATATTTGGAAAGTAAGTACTTAAAATAAAAAACACACTTCAAAATTTCATTTTTATCTCATTTACAAACATTAAGAAGTTCTAAATTTATATTTTAACATAGAAAACTAATTTTCAAAACAAGGGAGAACGCTATAGTCGAGTACCTCGACTATCAGATACCCGTTACTCAGCTAAATGGAGATATGCAAGCAGCAAAGCGAGACTAAAATGCGCCACCTACCGGCGGTATACAGATTTAAGCGTTATGGGCGTTAGAGTGGGCGTGGCAAATTTTTTTTTGGATCAATCGATAGGTATTGACGAGACCAATACATTTCAGTTAAAATTTTTTATCTAGCATGAAAATTGTGGGCGTCACAGGTTTTTGCGGTTTGTGGGCGTTAAAGTGGGCGTGGCAAACTTTTATTGGGTCAATCGATAGGTATTGATGAGAACATTACATTTCAGTTAAAATTTTCTATCTAGCATCAAAACTGTAGGAGCCACAGTTTTGGGCGGTTTGTGGGCGTTAGAGTGGGCGTGGCAGTCTACTGAAACAAACTTGCGCTGCGTAAGAAGCTCAGGAATCTGCACGCCAAATCTCAATAGCCTAGCTCTCATAGTTTCCGAGATCTCAGCGTTCATCCGGACAGACGGACAGACGGACAGACAGACAGACGGACATGGCTAGATCGACTCGGCTAGTGATCCTGATCAAGAATATATATACTTTATGGGGTCGGAAACGCTTCCTTCTGCCTGTTACATACTTTCCGACGAATCTAGTATACCCTTTTACTCTACGAGTAACGGGTATAATAATAAGGATATGAAATGTTTCCTTTAAATATATTTTTTTTGGTAATTCTGCAATCGAAGATCTTTTAAAATTAAGATCTGAGTTTGGAAATAATAAAGCGATATAACTTCATTATAGTTTTGTTAATTTTTTTAAGTGTACAACTTGTGCTGCCATTTTGCTTAGCCATACACTTGAAAACGTTTACAGTCCGTTGCCGAGTTTGTTTGTGTGGGTTTTCTCCTGTTTGTGGTGGTGCGTGTGCCAGTGTGGTGTGTGTGTGTGAGAGAGAAAGACTTTCATTGTTGGTGTCGCTGTCGCAATGTTCATCTTTTGTTTCAATTGCTGCTCTCCTGACGGTCAGCTCAGATTTCTGGCCGTATCTAAGCGGAATCATCCCATCGTCCTCTTCCCATTCCCCTTCCCTTTAAGCGGTTGGTTTATTGCAATTGATTTTGACGCCGCTGTTTATGCCAACTGAAGAACAATCGGAGCAGTTTAATCCAACTGCCACTGCCACATTCACTTTTGTGTTTGTGTAAGCATTTCCCGATTGCGATTGCGATGTAAGGCAAATAAAATCGGAGCTTAGGTGAAGTATCTGGGGAGTGGGCAAATGCAGAGCTATATCTGTTATAGGCGGCCATAAAGCATGGTTGCAATAGTGGAAAGCAATGGTCTTTAAATATATACATGCAAAAGAAAGACAAGTTTCACTTAAATACTGGTCTATAATGCTTACTTATTTTTTTACAGTCCAATGAACATATGTGTACTGAATTGAATAGTTAACTAATTTCACTTTGACTTACTAAAATATTTATGTCTTAATAATATGTGCAATGTCTTAATTATATGTCTATAATATGTCTTATTAAATGTGCAAAGAAATCCTTTATCATAATCATATTTGGTTTAAGACCTTTCACTTTTATGAACAATCTATGATTTATTTCAGAATCCTAAAAGTAAGCATTTTGAAATTACAGATTTTTAGATGTTTCGATTGTTAAGTTCGTAACTTATTGGCGCCCAACGTGGGGCCCGAACCCACGACCCTGAGATTAAGAGTCTCATGCTCGGCTAGCTCAGTCGGTATCCTTAATATTAACTGATGATACTTTGTTGAGGACTGGTCGACACTTGCAATTTGTTTGTTGAAAGATTAATTACATTTTGTGTTATCTAGGTATGACTATAAGTCTGTCGAATATGTAGTTTTATAAAGAAAGTAAAATAAATGTGTATGTAACAAGGGTTTACTTATTTTAAATTAAAAATTTACCAAATTGTTTTAAATTCCATTGACCTTCCACCACTAAAAGCCCCGTTTTCCCTCATTTTTGCAGCTACGTGCACGGCATTGGTTCGGAGACGCGGAACTCGCTCTTCCATTTGCACAACGGACGCGACATGGTCCTGGTCACCACCTGTCGCCACGGGAAGAGTTGGCGGGAGCTGCAGGATAATCGCTGCGACGAGGACAACCGCGAGTACGACAGGTAAGTGGATGTGGAGATGGAGATGGAGACGTTGATGACGATGACGATGACCCCAATCCCCAATCCCCGTTCAACCCCTCGGCCAATAAAGTTGCAAAGGACGATGATTGTCGCCGGCAAAGTGGCCAGAAATTGTTTCTAGCTGTCATTGGGTCCGCAAGTAATTTGTTTAGCCTCCGCCATCGTGCTAATAGCCGCCACGCCCCATCCTTTTTGCCATTAACCGGAGTCTCGGCCCCGCCCACTTTAGTCCCTCTATATTTATCTTTTATATATATGTATGTATATGTATCTGTTGGATGTGCGTGGTGATTAATGTGCTGAAATCCGACTTGACAAGCTCATTTAAATGGCACGACACTTGGGCCAAAGGCATTTGCAATGCCAATGGATTTCGTTTAGCGCCCGAGTCGAAAATTCAGGGATGAGCACACAGAGCTGTGACTTTTCAATCATGGTCAGATGATTTGAAATGTTTCTCGGGCCAAAATTTGGCTCGTTTAGGCTGGCCAAATTAATGGTGCAAATGAAGTTGTAGAAACGGTTGTCAGGGATGAACTCGTCACCCTAAAGTAATGGAAAGAACATACAGAAAAAATGATAATATATGATGATCGATTTGCTTAATTTAAGTATCATTTCCATCTATATATGGGGTTGTGTATTACTTTGATATGTTTTAGGCGCTATCTCGTTTTTTTCTCTCCTTTTTGGATGGGAGAGAGAAAAATGATATTTGGTATATTTCCCATGTGAATATCAAATTGTTTTGATCCCATTCCTGCCAGCAATCAGCTTCAAAAACAGGAAAGAACATCCCAAATAAAACTGAAAAGCACAATAAAGAGAACAAAAGTATCTTTTGTGTTTTTACAATTTGGCACTGAATTTAAAAAGTTTGAAAAATTAATTAAATTTTGTAATGTTATTTTGAGCCTAACTCATCATCGCTTAAGCGTATATTTATTAATCAAACGTTTGTCAAATGATAAATGCAATTTGTTATCTTTATAAAATTTCTTATTTGCTTTAAAAAAGTTAATTTACTTAACAACTAAAATTTAGATTCGAGGCTCTCAATGAGATAACAAACAAATACTTGTAGTTATCTGCAATATTAAATGTGATCTTACAATTGTGGCCAGCGAAAATAATCCATTCAAATTGCAAGGACATTTCCGTCCACAGTAGTCACATTTTTCATAGGGTTCACGGTCTCTTTGTAATATTTGACATCCAATTTTCGGTGACCAAACGCAGCAATTACCCATATGTTCCTCTGTAATAGAAAAATAAGTTAAAAAATCAAAAAGTACAGTAAACTAGTTCCCGGATAACCTTTTATGTCTAAACCCTCTGGAAGGCATACATCCAAGTCGCGACTTATCGGAGTATCAGATAACGTAGTTGAACCAACACTTTCAGAATCAAATGTGGACGATATTTTGCACAAGTATCCGGTATCGGAAATATTACAATATCTGTTCTCCTCTCTACAGTCTAAGCATATGGTGTTGTTATACCTTGTTGAATAATCACTAGCACTATTAGTCGCGTTATCACTCGTGTCATTGCTACTGGTCTCGGCCAATGGGATTAAAAAGAGGATATAACATAAATAGATCATCATGATTTGAATAAAAATAATTTGAAAATGAATAAGAAATACAGATCTACGTAACCCGACACAGAATTCAATGAATGCTTTGTTGTGAACATTAAAAAACAACTGGGTTTCTTATAATAAGCTTACAAATCACCTTACGATTGGGGGACAATCAACAACTCATTAGTTTACAGATAATTTGTGAAGAGCGCTAGAAACAAGTACATAACCATTGAAAAATCACTGGTGTAGGCGTTTCCAGTTTCACACGGACATGCTTCATCTCTACAATCGTCGCAATCAATAATGTCTTTATCCGAATCGTATACCGCTTGGCATCCAAGTTCAGGTGACCAAAAGCAGCATTGGTCAAAATCCTCTGCTGAAATGTTTTGAGAAATCAGTTTGAGAATCAAAATGTCGATTTCCTGCTCTGAATACCTTGTTTTTCCATGCCTTTTGGAATGCATTTTCTCAAGTCGGTGGTAATGGGAGGAATATGTATCCCGCTCCCGTATGCCCTGCGAAGGTTCCCCGAAACTAAGCACTGAAAACCGGTTTTTGAGATTTTGCACTTTTCCTTCTTGTACTTCCGACAGTCGACACAAATCGAATTCCTCTGTCCGCATTTAATAGGCAATGGAATCAAAGCGAACATAATAAAAAAGAATACTTTTAACATGATTTTTGAAATAAATTAGTTTTATTTTACGGTCTCTTAGAGCAAGGAATGCTTTGATTCTATATATATATTGTTTTCTTATAGTAGATGAGGTTTATAGTAATACAACAATATTCTCTGCCAAATTAAAAAGTCATAAGTCATGGCCATCTAAGGAAACCTTAGTGATTACACGTGTATACAACACAATTGTAGTAACTTTGAGAAATACCCTCAAATTTCCATGTTACAAGTTGTTTCAGGAGACCAACAGACTACAAGTATTTTTTGATCCATGTGTACTCGTAGGAAACTGATATTCCTTGTTCTCCTTTGTGCAATCGATACAAATCGAATCATTAGAATCCACTAACCATTAAGGTATATCTTCGATACGGTTTGCTGAAGTAAGTGCTGATCTGTTTAAAATTGTAATACACAGTCACAAAATTCCAGAAATACGTCTACTGTTTGCGCTTATACATTACTTTCCAATTTTAAGATGCATTATAAATCAAGTAAATTAAACTAGCAATTTATTTTGTCGTATTTTAACTTTTGCCAGCCAAATTTGTATATATACTAAAAGTAGAATGCAAAAGAGCCCACTCGAGTTGAATGTTAAAATTTGAAATTATTTTTTAAAGGAGTAAAAATTAGCCAAATTTTAAAAGCGGATTAAAAATTTAGCAATTTAAATTTAGTAACCGTAATAAGAGGCACCAAGTATCTGCTAGTGATCACGGTCAAACTGTTCATGTACATTTTTCCTGATCCATTTTCAACGCAGGGACAAGTTTGTCTCGCATTAAAACAAATCTCCTTTTCGTCGTAGTCCCTTTGTACCAGTTGGCATCCGAGTTCCGGGGACCAAACGACGGCATATTTAAAATTTTCGTCTAAAATTTTAAGGGAAATTAGTTATAGAATCGTGAAATCGAATTGCTTTAGTACTCTTAATGCACTGAATCTCCAAGCCCTGCGGAATGCAAACATCTAAATCGTTGTTACTCGGAGGATTTCGATTCAAACCAAAGAATGGATCAATATCCTCATCGTAAATTCGACTCGTCCGATCAAAGCACTCATATCCGGTTTCTGAAATTTGGCACTTATCTTTATTCTCCTTTGTGCAGTCAATACAGATTGTACTATTATATGTTAAAGCGTACGTGGTTGTAGGACTGGAAAGGAGTATTAAAGTAAAACATAACTTTAACATGCTTTCAAACAAATTTTTTTTTGTATTTTCTATTTAATAACTAAAAACAAGTCAAATAATATACATATTTGACTATAATTTCAAGGGTTACCTAGATCGTAAAATATTAGTGGTTTGCTTTAATCAACAGTTGTACTACATATAAGGTGCAAGGCACGATCCAACTTCTGGTATACAGACAACCCTTTCCAGATTCTTTTCTGTCTTTGATGCACGGGCAATTTAGAGTGGCACTGAAACATGCATTCCTTTTACTTTCAGACGATTTCTGTACAACTTGACAACCCAATGTAGGAGACCAAACGACGACTTTTTTGAAGTTTTCTTCTACCATTTTATAAAAATATAAGTTGGAAAATTATACAAGCGAAATGTTGTCATACCTTCTATGCACTCAATCTCTAAATTTCTTGGTATGCATTTATCCAAATCGGTTGTACTTGCACCCTCCCAATGAACGACACCTTCGACACCTTCGACCCTTTCGGTCCAATCTTCGCCAGTCGGGTCAAAACAATCAAATCCGATTCGATCAATTTCACAAGCTACCATGTCATCCTTGGAACAGTCAATACATATTGTATTATTTCTTGTCGTTAATCCTTTAGTGGTTAGTGGACTCAGTAGACCGAAGAGATAAAAAGTTAGGTATATCGTCATGTTTTGATTAAAACATTTTTGTTTTACTATTGATTTTAAAACTAAAAATAACAAATGACTTCAAAATCAAAGGATGTAATTGAAATTTTGTATTTTTCGCTTGATATAAGAGTGTTTTATTTTTTCAAAGGTGGTTTAAATTGCATTTTAACGATTTTGTAAACACAGTTTTAGTTGTTTGCCAGCTGAATTAAAAACCAAGTTAATCGGAGGTGCCACAGGAATCGCAGAGCAGAGTTAAAATTATATTTTTAAAGAAGCAATATAATTATAAATAGTAATATGGTAAATAGCGAACAGATGGGTTTTTTCGCAGATGCTTTCCGTTTGACGCACGGACAATCACTCAAGATATCATAACAATCCACCTCTAGGACAAAATCAGTTTCAACCACAAGTTGGCAACCAAGTTGGGGAGACCAAACGACAGCATGATGGAATTCTTCTTCTAGAATTTTAAAAGAAAACTTAACAATTTACCATGCGTGTCACTTACAACCGTACCCTGAAGGCATTGAATATCCAATTCATGCGGGATGCATTCACCTAAATCCAGGTAAAACTTAGGTTTCTTAGTCCAGTGAAAGCGGGACCGCATTTTTGTAGTTTCGCATGTATATCCTGTCTTGGCAATTTCGCAATCGAAAACTCTTTCACAGTCGATGCATATTAGGTCTTGATGTGATGTGGTCAGTGGAATCAGAAGTATAAGAGAAAGGTATATATATGACATGTGTTGACGGAATAATTATGGTAAATAGTAAAAAACATTTGAAACTAACTCAGCATGTTAATAAATTCAGGGAATGCTTTGTAGCTAAACTTCAAAGAAAGATCATTGCATATTTTTCATCGGTGGGGAAAAATGTTGATGGCGGGTTTCAAAGCTTGGAAATGATGTAAAACTTTTACCATCAATTTGTGGTTCTTTAAAATTTGTGTATAAAAACATAGAAAAAAGGAGATCGTTGAGCAAGGAATTTATGTCACCGCAAGGTTTCCTCTTTTACCTTTAATTGAATCTAATTTTTCAGATTTTCTTCGCCGCTTTTGGCGGCAAGTCTGCTCTTTGCCCGCCTGAAGTCTGTTCCCCCGGCATCCTCGTAATTTGACATGACTTATGCGACAAATCTGCTTTGGCGTCAAGCGTCAGCGATTTATGCTCCCCGACTTTCCCGACTGTCATCCCCTTTTCCTCCCTCAACTCACCCTTCACTGTTCTACATAATCAAGCAAATTGCTTTCCCACTCACATCATTTTTTATCAAGGGGCCTTCGCTGTCTGGAAACTTCGTTAATGCACCTGTCAGATATATCTTTCGCCATCTTCCTTCCATTCTCCATTCCCCTGCATGTGTTGGATCTAACTATATTTACATATATATATATATATATATATGTATTTTAGGAAAATTGCATAATACCCCTGAATAGCATCAGCTATTCTTTTTTTTGTACAAAATCTCTAAAAGCTCATGAATGCGCGTGGGCGCCAAAGTTCTTTGGGTGAGTTGAGTTTTTGTATTTTTGATGAGTTCTTCCCCGGCATTAATATGCAAAATCCGCATTGTTGTTGTTAATATACATAGTGATGAGGATACTGAAGGGGGCACTGCCCCAGCATATCTGAAATCCATTCAATTTGACAATGACTTAGTAAAGTTTTCTCATTTTCGATAGACGCTGAGCAAAAGGACAGTCAGAAAGTTAATGGTCAGCAGAGCATCAAATTTGGGATATTGGGGAGACGACAGATTTATGTATGAATTTTTAGTTCCATCTTTGTAAATGGATCTTTAAATCGAAGGGTATTTATTAAATCAAAGTGAGGTCCGGCCATTAAAGAGCAAAGAAATAACATTTTCTTTACATTTGTTGTAAATCTTCTTATATTTGCATTTATTGCCTAAATATTCTAGATTTAATAAAAAGTAATACCGAATTTATGTTTTTTTTGAGGTGACCTTAATAAAGGTAGATTTTCTTTTTATTTCTTCAACTACATAACTTGGCTAATTCAAAGGACATTAAAAGTCTGATTTAATTGCTTAAACTCCCAAATTTTGTACACATAAAAATGTATATATTAAATATGCAGCCATATTTCGCAAAACACAAAATCCATTAAAAAGTTTTGTTATTACTTCAACTCATCCTTCACCCCAGCGCCTGACTTCGCAAAAAAAAAAACTTTTCCAACTGCATTCAAAAACCTTGAGCTGCTTTTAATGAAATTCTTTTTTGTTGCCACCGCTGTCGTTTTGTGGACTTTTTTCGGTTGGGTCCTTTGTTGCTGTTGTAATGAGCCTAAGGCGTCAATGGCTTTTGCCGCCAATGACGATGTCATGCACCATATGCAGTACATCCGCGAAAAAGTGGAGGACGTGGCTTTTTGGGCCTACACAGATGATGATAATGGTGATGATGGCTAAAAACAAGCCACACGATGTTAAATCTACTTTATTTTATTTTTCACTTTGTGGTTTCTGATACGAGGTCAACGATTTTATCCAGTTTTAGCTTCTTTTCGGCTTTGCGGTTGGCACTACTTAAAAGGATTTTTGACTCACCGAGGAAAAAAAAACTGTCTGCGAAATTTATGGCGTATCAAAATTGTTTTAGAAAAATTCCATGTGCCTTAAAAAGAATATTTTTTTTATTTTTGAGCTATGTAAGAACTTAAGAGCATACGTAAACTCAAAAATTTGTATATTATTATAATCTACAGGTATGCGGTTAAAATTCTTTTCCTTAGTTGTTACCTATTAAACTTTACAATTTTTATATTACTTTCTAAGTGTATAAGTAAGCGATTTAACATTTTTTTTATTTTCAATTTTATTTTTTACATCTTAAATTTGTTATATATTTTTGTAAGTGTATAAGTATGCGGTTTGGCTGGTTTGTCAGACCTTTTGCCTATTTTTGAAGTCAGCCGAAAGTAGCAACTGTGCCAAATAATGGGACGCCATGTAAATGTCCTTGGGAGTAAAACTTGTTCCTCATTTTCTTTTGGCTGTGTGTTATTTTCTGTGTGTGTGAGTGACTGTGCTTCTTTTATTTTTTGTTGCCGCTAACAGCAGACGCGACGAAATTACGTATACGCCACGTCGGCTGCCAGGCCACACCAACTGTTGCAGCCACACGTAACCGCCACCCCAGAGCCTCAAGGTTGTCCCGAGGCAACTTTCAACTTTCTGTGGGCCTTTAATTTGAGCTTAACAATTTATAAAGTTTTTTTTTCTGACTCCCCATTTTTCAATACACAATTTTCGCAACTTATTTGCGGGTGTGTTAATGTGCGTAGTTCCCTTTGAGTGTGTGCAGCTTTGCTGGAGATCAAGGTCTCTGGGGAAACTCAATTTTCGCTTTGGCAACACCAAATATTTATATTTACATATGTGCGAAGCAAGAGGGTAAAATGGTGGAAAGGACGATGGGAAAATAAATTTCTTGATCATGTTTAGCTTGATTTTAATTTTTGCATTTAAAAGTGAATTTAATTTGCATTTAATATATAAAATATGAACGAAATATGTATATGTTTTGATTTAAAATATTGAATGAATATATACCAGTAAAAGACGCCACTTAAATCAATAAATATTTGTATTATCCCTTAGGCTGACATAAATATCAAGTGAAATTTTAACTCCTGACTCCTGTCCTAGTTAAAATAAGAAATAACGAGTCTCGAGCACATCCTTTTCTATCCCATTAAAGTAAATTTGAAATGCAGCCCCTCGTCGAACATGCAAACTAATTTAAGCATATGAAAACGAAGAATCGGAACTCATTAAAGGACCCCAATGCCTGCTTGCCCCTTTCACCCGCTTTCATCTCCCCCCGGATCCGGCTTTATGCATTTTTCATAATGTAATTTCCCAAGTAATAAATTTTCATGCCAGCATCATCATTATCCACAACATGCAGGACGAAAGGAGGGCGACTGAAAACTTCGGTTCGGTCGAAGGTGCAAGGATGAAGGTGCAGCTGCCGTTGCACCTGTTCGAGAAGCCCTTTCCCGCTTTTCCCGCTTTCCCTCGTTGCACTGGTTGCCACTTTCCACGTTAATCTCAGATTTCCACATAAATCACTTTAAAAAGGCGACACACTTGCAGGCGGCAAGGTAGGAGGAACAGAAGGCGCCGGCTCCCGAGGAAGAGCCATAGTAACCAGGTCTGCTCAGACCTGCAATGGCAATTTCTTTGAGTACTTTCTTCTATTTCCCCTTTGCTATTATACCGCTGCTGTGTGTGTGTGTGTGTCGTCGGTGTGAGTTGCCCCAAAAAACGTGCCAAGTAATTGCCGGCCATTGCCGTAATGTCCTGGGCATAAGGACCTGCCATGAGCTCAGGAAATAATAACCAGGCTTGGCTCGGCGGTACTTTTAATTTCAGCGACGATGTGCCGTCGATGTACAAAAGAATTCAGTGAATTTTTTTTCTTAAATTTTTATCAGTAGAATAATCAATCTTTAACAAAATGGAATATATTTCCCTCTGCTATTCACATTATTAAAAATTTAAATATTTTCTAGACAGAAGTTTGTATTATTTTTTCTGAAATCCAAACCCTTGCCAGATTTTTTATCACTCCATACTCGTTCTCTTTAGCTTTTATTTTACCTTAACTTCTGGCAAACGCCCCTTTCTAGTGCGGACATAACAATGTCTTTGAGTTTCTGTAATAATCGTAAATGCATTTGTTTTTTTTTTTGTATTTTGGCGAACACGCCCTGAATATATGGGGGGTGGGAGAAAGTCTTTTCCCTTAGCCATGCCCAACTCCCACACGCATTTTGTGTGAGCTGCATTCGCAATTGCACGGCGTCTTCATGCGGTTATGCTTCTGCTGCTTTCATTATGAGCCATTATCACAAGCTGGCGACAAGCGACTGCCACGATGGCCACAAAGAAAGCTGGGGAAATGGCCAGGAGAATGGCCAAAAGAAAGGGGCCGAAACGGGGACGTTGGCGGTCTCTCGACAGCGCTTGACGCGAGCTTTGCACTTGTAACTAATGCGCCATGTTTA